TTTTCAAAGGCCACTTATCCTAATGTAAATTTGTTTGTTTTTTTTTATGGCATGACCCGTCTGAAAGCTGTGTGAAAATCATCACACTATTTCCCAAGAAGTTCATCGCCCAGAACTTGGCGAGAAATTTCTTAGTAATAAATAAAAGTGAGAATATCATATTTTCCACTAATGTCAATATTCATACATATAATATAATATGTGTAATAGCAGGCCGGTATAATATGTTGGTGAACACTAACGTTAACGTAATATAAAGGTGTATAAAGTAACATTAACTTTTTAGTGCTCTTGGCGCATTCCTAATAAAGCAATATAGAAGACATAAAAAGTAGTCCAGGGCGCTGGACTAGGAGAATTTTTATGTCTACTTTATTAGGCGGAAGGCCATAAACTATTCTCGTCAAACGAACGGAGTTCTGTTTTGCAATCTACCTACTGTTTTCGCATGCTTCTTACACCGCCACCGACGAAGGGCGCTTTATCAAACGTGTCATATTCAAGTTATTTGATTTGAGAAAACTGTACATACTTTTTTTTTATATCCGGTCGTTAAATATTCTAGAGAGTACTGACCTGTACCTAACTCTCTAAATCATTTTCGGTTGGAATTTCTTATAGCTTCCAGAAAAAAAATTGTTACCCAAAGTTATGAATTTTACAATTTGATATTTATACAAGAATAAATTAATAAAATAGAATGATAAGATTTCACACCTTTGATTTGCCAATTCATCAAACAGCTTAAATAACTAACTAACCGTAATTGTATTTGATAATGAAATAAACATTCATGACGAAATGACAGAACATAGAAATTCACTTCCACAAGTCAAATCGTGATTGCTTTCATTCGGCTTTGAGTGGATTTTCATGTCACATAAATAACATTATTCGTGTAAAATTCGCTCACGCAGCCGCCTGCGAAGATTCGAACTTGAATCTATTGAATTAATAATTAACCGATGAACCTTTGGATGCGCAACATTAGATCTTGGTAAAAGGTACCGTTAATTGAACATCCAAATGCTATTCAATGTTATTTTAATAATCCATTCGGCATATTCATCCTCTTTAGTGGACATTTCGGTGAAATTCATTTTAATATCAATAATTGTTTTGATTCCTGTCTCCTCTCCTCTTTTTAACAGGTTGAAAATAAATATAATCATAGGCTTAGACGTAGAATGTACATTGAATTCTCCAATGCGATTAAATGCTCCAATGCGATTAAATGCTCCTCTATATGGATGTAATGAAACAAAGTAGCCTGTGCGCAGCTGGCCTATGGACTTTTTACGGCCGAATTTATTTTAATGTCCTTATTCAATAGTCCATAACTCAGGAAGTTCTATTTCTAAGATTTGTTTATTGTATAAAAAAAGACACCACATACCTTTCACTTTACGAAAACAGTAAGAAAGAATAGATGAATAGAAAATAGATAAGCATGAAATAATATCTGAAAGATCAAATAATGTCTAAAAATAAAGAGAGATCATACTGAAAAGGAAATTCATCTTGTATAAAAATGTGTTTTTTTTTCTTATGTAAGAAAGCGGCAAACGAGCTGGCGGTGCAACACCCGTAGAATAGCAAATGTGTTGCAACCTATAATTAAAGTGGGCCCCGGCTACCTCAAGCACCAGACGAAACGCAGAAGTGTAACACTTCTACTTTACGCCGGTGTTCCGTGAGGTCGTGGTACTTACCCGGCGTGGCCCTAACACAGTTAATAAAAATAATTCTAATTAAGCTTATTTAGTCTCAAACGTGACAGTTTACAAAAGTAACGTCGATTTTTGTAATTACATTTTCGTCACTTCCTTTTTTTACTTACTGAAGGTGAACGAAATTAAGCAAAATTATATGTCAAATTTATAATAAATATTTAGTTTTAGAAAAAATAAAAAAATTAAATTTTAAGAAAATGTCCAATCAACATAAAATTTAGAAAACACTGTAAAAAGAGTTCTATTTAATCTATTAATCGTGTTATACAGAAATTGATTTTAACTGAATTTTATTTATCAATATATTCATCAAATGGATTTATTCAGGTTAAAGTTCCTCCCTATGAGTAACTAACAAATTAGTTCGAAATCTTCATGCGCTCAAGATGAAACTCGAAATGTGAATTTGCATGTAGAAAATTATCAAGCATTAGTCTCTGATACTTCTAAATAAACTTTATAAAATACTGTTCGTGTGTGAAGAATAAATAAATAAAATAAATAAAACGTATAACATAACATCACAAAACTATTCAATTACACTTCGCATTATTTATTTTAAATGGAAACACAATAATGTAATAAAGGTATTTTTATGTCCGCCCATGTCTCCTGAATATGATATACCTTTGTAAATTTTCCCTACGTCATAACAACAATACACTTTCTTTCTTTGCAATTTATAATACCTGAGCTTCCGTGGATTTGACTTCTAAGTGGATTGTCGTGTCACGAGAATTCCCGTTTCGTAAAATATATTACCTTCGCCGCTGCAGAATTGAAATTTGTTGCCATTTAATAGATACAGTGCTCGTTATTTGTTCCCATACTTTATATTAAAATTACGCTCGGTTTAAAACACTTTAATAAACAGAATTAGTTTAGAATTTAATTTAGAATTTAGTACAATATGAACACAATGTTTTTATTTATAATAGCATCTAAAACAACAGTAGTGCTAAGTAAAAGGTAGAACTTTAAATTGATTACATTTATCAACCACTCAGCGTTTAAATAAAACATCCGTTTATGTCTGATCATTAAAGTTTTTAGAGGCTATTTTATAAGTTTACCCATTTAAAAATTCTCGTAATTAACGTAATCGACAGAGCTTGGGTAATCACGATTCGTCGCTCTTTGTAGACGAGATATAGAGGCGTGAGGCCCGAGATGTGAAAGATAATGAGCGAATATAGTCCCAAGAGATTGTAGTGCGTAGTGATGTGCTAACTAACGCTAAATTTATATTTTCTTTTACATTTTCTGTTATAGAATATTTCAGTATTATTTCAAAACCTCGAAGGAATGTGTTCTTTACGTGTTAGTTGAGAGGCAGAAGCCTAGTTATTAAAGTTTTAAGCTTCAAGACGGCAAAAATGTACAAGGTCGAAATGAAGCTGCTTTAATATACTCTCATAACGGCTTTAGGGTGTCAAGTAATTTGGCTTTCCCTTAAAAATCATGTAGAAATATTAAGGGAAATTCCAAAATACCGAAAGATTGAAATATATACCGAATTATTGGTATATCAGACGTCAAATGATTGTCGTCCACAGATATCTACCATACCTGTAGATTTTGAGATGCATTTCCACCCTTTCAAAGAGTTGACCTCACTCATTTCGGAGCCCGCCCATTAGTGCGATGGTAGAAGGCAACACGGCCCTACTAAATTTTTTTAATGCCATAAGGCGAAATGGGCACATCACTACGCGCTTATAACACCACAATATACACGTTTATAGATTGATCAAAGAAGCCACACGAAAATAGATTGCTTCCTCACTTGTAATTTACCGATAAATTACTTCGCAGTTTATTAATATTTGGAATGTACATGTCCTACACCGCCTTATGCAATTTATAATATTGGTTCAAGGAAAAAGAAATTCACTATGTCTACAAGCTTCAAATCTTTATTTAACATGTTTACCAATTTTATTAAAACATGCACTGTTTAGTTCTATGATTTCTTGTCATAATGCCTCTCTCACAGAAGTCTTGTTCCTTTTTCTTATCACTTAGGAAGTTTTGAAATGCACAAAAAATGGTAAGCTCTTGATGCCAGGTTCGAAATATATGGTGGATACTATGCAACCAAGTGCGCTTAGTTTCTGGTGATTCCCTGTTGACGTTTGTGGCCTTTCGTTGTACTGATGGAACACAGCAACTCTCCTGTTGACCAATTCTGATCGATTCAGGTCAATTACTAGCTATAAACGGTCCAGTTGTAAACAATAGAAAACCGAACTTAGTGTTAAACTAGCAACTTATAGTAACCAGTTTCGTTCCAGTCCCACCAAATACTCAACACTAACTTCCTGGCTGTTAGTCCCAGTTGGATCACTGTCAACTGCTATCTCGGTTTCAAAACCATCGTTTTTACGACCTATTTATCATCTCCATCATCTATCCGCTTAGGAAATGTTTTGCTTTCATTCCGTGTGGCCAAAGCTTCGGTATGTCACCCAAATAAAGCTTATTTTTTAAATCCGGCTTTGTGCATATGGTATAAATTGTTTAATGGCCGATCTTTAGCTACTGGGCGCTGCTACTAACAAGTCGGTTAATTTCGATGATTATTTTGATCTTATCGACATTTTCGAACAGTGGCCTACCTGTTCGTGGTGCATCTTTAGCGTCAAAAACGTCTGGATGTGATATTGCACGAATAGGCTGGCTCTTCCGGGGAAGTAACAGAAGACCGGCGTGAAGTAGAAACGTTATACTTACTTTTGCATTTCGTCTAATGAGTGAAGTATCCTGGTCAACTTTATTAAAAGGTGGTAATATGTCTATGGGCGGCGGTTATCATTTAAAATCAAATGAATCGCTAGGTCGTTTGCCACCGTCTCGCTTATAAAAAAAGAAATAGTAAACTGTAAAATATAAGGATGTTTTTCTTTGTTGATCCTTTTAACATCCTGTAGCTTACAATTCAATGGCCAAAAAAACTTCAAAAAAAAAAAATTTTTTTTTTCAAAAATGTCATCCTTCTAAGATAATGATTTCGAATTTTTTGAAGGATACTTTACGAGATATCGATAAATATAGCCTTTTTCTTATATAGTTCCTTTTTCCCGAACTATTAGAACGAAAAAGCACTATTTCATTTTAAAAAAGATAATTAGAATATATACTGCAATCGTAGCTAAATATAGTTCATTTATCATTTAATAAAACGAAACATTACAATATATCTAAATGTTATTTAAATGTAAGCACAGTTTGAAAACAAAGTTAAATTTATCCATATTTGTTTTACAGGTTTTCATAAAATCAGAACTTAAGGTTGGAGTTATTTACGTCAAAGAAAACCAGTATACTGAGGAAGAAATATTGGACAACAATGAGAACTCGCCAATGTTCGAAGAATTTCTGCAAGTGATGGGCGAAAAAGTTCGCTTAAAAGGTAAAAGTTTGCCTTAAAATTGAGCATCGGTGTGCAGATAATTATTTCTTGTGTTTACACATTATTGACAGCATGTTTGAATAAAGCTGTTTTATGGATTTCGAACACGGAATGTGTTAGGTTTTAACACATTGGCAAAACCAATAATTAGTCTGTGCAGGGCCATGTACGCTTTGAACTGTTTTAAGGTCAGGAATATAACAAGAAAGGCATGTTCATAAACATACACATAAGTATCGTCGTTTTATGAATTAACCCCTACCATCCTATTATATTAATTATATAATAACATCTCAGTGAATTTAAAGTATTTTTTAAATACGCAAGGTCTCCCTATACCGTATGTGTTTAATGTCTAAGATGGCTTGATTTAGAAAAAAAAACTTTCATGGCAGTATTTAAAATGTGAATACTCTTACAGGTAGGTACTCTCTGAGGTAGCCGGAACCCAATTTTCAAACGGTTGTCAACGCCTCTGTAACCCTTGGGTGTGGCAGATGTCCATGGGCGGCGGTATTTACTTAACATCAGGTGAACCGTCTGCTCGTTTGACAACTTTTCGCAAAAAAAAAAAAAAAAAAACAGTACTATCCGAACACTCAAAATTCTTTCAGTCTTTATGTCCTTGGATTCGCGTATTTAAAATAACACACGGTTTTTACCGATAATTTGTGCTATTGTTATATTTTAAATGCGTTTTTAAAAAACACACGGTTGGTTTTTTCCAATAATTTGTGCTATTGTTATTTTGTTTTAATTTTAAATGATTATCTCTAAATGCTTTATTAATCTATATATACATATATATATATATATATATATATATATATACACAGCGTGTCGTTACAACCCCAATAAATGAACACACGTCTCACGCTACGTTTCAATAATCATAAAAAAATACAGAACGTAAAAAAATCCATAATAAAATAAAACAAAATTTGTAACATCCTATACAACTACAACTGACTGATTCATACATTTAGAGATTTTTTTCATTCGTTGCCAAAACGTCGCATTAAAAGTATATAACGGTATGTTTTATCTCCTTTAAATTCATTCAGCCCATTCATATGCTTCGTGACCTTTACAAATGAACTTTACGTCACAGTTTTATACTTAAGGTTGTTCTAAAAATGTTTGTTTTGTAAAATTTAATAACTCGGTAAATATTGATGTCTAAAGAATGTAAATGCTTTACAATTTTAATAACTGATCCTCTATATGTGTGTTCATTTATTGTCGCGTTTGTAACGACACGCTGTATATAAGAGATTTCCACCGATAATTGATTCATCACGATATCTCTGGAACCATAAGGCGTAGAGACTTGAATTTTGGTAGGAATATTCCTTTCCGGATTTTACGAAATTCCACAAAACAACGTTTGCCGGATCAGCTTGTGTAATTATAAAAAAACAACAGTTATGTTATAATATCGTATTTTCTCGCAATAATAATGCAGCAATATTGACCGGAGTCTGATTGTGTCCCTATTCTTAGGCACTTTAAAAGACCTGGAGCGTAATTCCAAGACTTCAACATGTAATGACGTCTGAAAATCCATGAAATCAATTTTGTTACATAATATCAAATATTACAGGTTTCGACAAATATAAAGGTGGCTTAGACACAGTACATGACCTCACTGGCTTGTACTCGGTGTACACCAACTGGAGAGGCATCGAAATTATGTTCCACGTGTCCACACTGCTGCCTTACGAGCGCCACGATCCACAGAAACTTCAGAGGAAACGTCATATAGGGAACGATATTGTATGCGTCGTTTTCCTAGAGGCTGACAACACTGCCTTCTCCCCGGCTTGCATTAAGAGCCACTTTCTACATACCTTTATATTGGGTAAGTGAAGTACCAGCGAATTGACAATATTCATAGAATTGTTGATTCTGCCGCGGCTTTTTCTTATGGCAGTAGGTTGCGAACAAGCAAAGGGCTTTTCCCTACGGTCTGCAATAGTGTTGCCAATATTTTAAAAAGTGGACTCCAGGGGTAACCGTTAAAATCACTAAAAAAACTGAAACTGAACACAGTCAAACTATTGGCATTCTTATTTTACCAGATATGTGAATTGATAACTATTCTCGTTGCCTATTCGGAAACTTTATGCTTCATAATGAAATCATGCTCCTTGACAATGACTTAAATTTACTACTTATATATTAACGTTCATTACTATATAATACCTTATTTAATTTATTTTTTAAAACAATTTTTTTATCTAATAACCTACAAACGTTTTACAATTTCATTCCCATTTTAGTAAGTAAATTACATTATATATTTGTATTGATATTAGTTGATAGTTTCGTTTTCGTCATGGAGGATATAGTATATTTTCTCTTTTTATACGTCAGTTTTAATTAAGCCCTTATGCTCTAAACCATTTCCCTTGCGTCAGAATTGAAGCGAAAGGAATTTTTAATTGATTTATTGTCATATTTTTCATGCAGTCAGAGTATCCGCAAAAATCAAGAGGCGCCCAACGCGTTATGAAGTGTCTGTTGTAACCCGAGACGAGGTCGGCGCCTACAAGCCCTATTTGTGGGAGCAGAGTGTGTTTGACAAGGGCCCTATGTTCAGGTTGGTGTTTTTGGTACTTGGCACTTTGAATGGCACTCTGTGCAAATAGCCAATTACCTTTTGTGTAACGAAACACTATTAGATAAAGTTGAATTGCTTGATATTATAATGAGTCAATTGTTTTCACGAGGCATGTTAGTGACTTGCTTGATCCAAAACCAAGACCATTAAATTACAATTTGGGTGCCTTGAAGGCAAGAATGAATACGCTTCTTCGGAGATGGTAGCCAGCCAATACGTAATAAGAAATAAAATTGTTCCTACCTTTTGGGGAAATATATTTGTGAAAGAAATTAACAAACATAAATGCAAATATGGACATTCTTACATATGGACAAATACACAATCAGGAACAATTACATGCCATATACAGAGTACACTAACTGCACAATAATTATATAAAAACAGTCACAGTAAACTATAGGTAATACCTATATAAAGTTCTAGTAGAGTAATATTAAAAAATACTCCCACGGCCTGTATTAATGTGGATTTTCAAAGTTTCTGCAAATACATATTTAACAGTAATTTGTTGATATATTTTTGAATGTTCTTCTTCAGAGAATGGCTTCTAACGAAAATTGTGAATGGCGAACGCGCTTCGTACTCCGCTCCCAAATTTGCGAGGATGCAGGAAAGGACTCGAAGTCAGATGCTGGAGGACATTGTGGCCAATTTGCAGAATCACGCTGAAACCGGACAAATACCAAAACCATATAGAAGAGGTTTTAAAAATCATATTTTAATTTTAATGTACCAATACTCTAATACATTAAACATTTATTGCCAGCAATTACGTATTTCTTAGCAACATAAAGTATTTACGCCTGGTTTCTGGAACACTGATCATCGTCAACTAATCAGCTGTCAAATGGCTTTTCATATTTCATTTTAGTTGCCAAAAACATGGTTAAACTTCTGAGTTGACTAGAATGATCTTCTAAATGATCAATTCAAATAGATTAAACATCCTTTAGGCAACTAAAATGAAATTTGAAGAGCCATTTCACGACTGATTAGTTGATATCTACGATGATCAGTGTTTCAGAAACCGCGGGCGTTAATAACATAAAATCTTTTAGTTGTGCGTTTTGCACATGAAATTTGAAGTAGGTACAATAGTCAGAGAGAGAGAGAGAGAGAGAGAGAGAGAGATATGGTGAATAACAATAATTTAACTGATTATTCAACATCTTAAATCGTCTAAGCTCGTAGTAGTCTCCCTGTAACCGTCGTAACGTAAACGCTACCAGACACATACGTTTAGAATATAATTGTGATGTTTGTCATTTGATATCCCATTTTAGATTTAATTGTATTCAATTCAACAATTTAAAATAAAACGTTAAGATTTTCGTCGGTGTGGCAATAAGCCGTTTAGCTTAGTGGCTATAGCGTCAAGCCGCGAATACCGAAGACATGGGTTCGATTCAGACAGCGGCGACAATCTTTTCTTCAACGATTTAAGTTTGGTTTGAATATCAATTTCAGGATCATGGCGGCCGATAGGTCATATGCGACCCTCGTCCCCTCTCCTCGACTCGGTTAGGGACCAGTTCGAGGACTACGACCAACTGGCGAAAGACTTCACCCGCGTGTTCCTCAACAACGAGCTGAACATCGCGCAGAACGCCCAACTCTTCGACGTCGTCTTCCTTGTAGGCCAATCCAAACAGAAGACCAAGTTCATCGGTGTTCGTGCGATATTGGGTGTAAGAAGTCGGTGAGTACAGTCGTTAATTATCAAAAAGCACGCAATTGTATCCAATCCACTTAACAAGTGTCCGTAGAACGTCTCCACGGAACGACAAAAATGATGACTTAGGGTTAGAATGATAGATAACGACTTTGTACTGATCACCATCGATAAATAGAAAGTCGTTCTCAAAATTCGTCGTCTTCAAAATTCTTCCCATGACATTAAAACATATTATCTACATTTGGTTTTCTTACGATGTATTTTAATTCAAAATTGTTTTATTTTAATCATTTATTCGTATTGAATTAGGATTAATACTATGCATATTCAATTATATTTACATATAAACATAAACTTAATCATATGTTATTAATATATATGCTAATAAATCTAGGCAATAAACTTAGTCCACGCGGCATAATGCCAAGAACGCTAGTTCCACATCCTCGGCGAATAGTTTTGCTTTTAAGCCAGAAAAGAATCCCCTTATCACCAGCACCAGCAATAAGTCTAGAAAGTAAATCAGAGAGATAAAATTATTTTTAAATTGATATTTAAATTACACAAGATTAGTTTTAATTGTTTTAACTTAAAAAATAAAAAACAGGACGTTCTCAATTTGGCTGTTTTTTTTTTTCAGTTTGTAACCTCTGATCTCCGTCATTTATAAACAGATTTTATTTTTTTTTTTGTTTCGAATTCAGTTTAACTCCCATGTAGTCATTTGATTGACATTAAACCTTGGGCTCCGGAAATGCTTCAGCGAATTCCTCAAAATCAAATAGAAAATGGATAGTGTTGAAGAATCAAATGTAAAATGGATACTTGTTAAAAGTTTGAAATAATAAAAAAGAACATTAAAGAAAATGCACATTGTAAAGAAAATAGCACAGAACATTTATGATCCCGCAGCAGACGGGACTGGTCGTTTACCGTCTTCCGCAAAAAATAACAAAATCGAACCACATTTGTTATATTTTATTTACAATATTGTACTTTACTTTAACCTCGTCAATTAACAAATTAATGACTGTCATATTTCATACGCTTATAATTCTATATTCTAGGGTGTTCCAGGAGATGTTGTACGGTATCCAAACAGGGTTTGGTTCGCCACAAGTACCAGTTGCTGAGCTTCTAGCAAGACCTGCACCCACCCTGCTGTCTCCAACGCCCGCTCGACAGAAGAGCAGCAACTTCTTGCAAGTTCCGGATATAGAATCGCCCAGGTAAAAAAAAGTAGATGGAAAAAGTCACAGAGGCAATTTACACATTGCCAAAAGAATCAAGAGATGTTGATTCTTTTGGTGTATGTTTAATTATGGTTTCAGTTTCATGTAATTTCTCTTGCAACACTTTTTCGAACAACATTTGTTACGTGTGATTTTTTTATAGTTGTTATTACGGATGTATGACCTTAAAACAAATTTAAGACAATTCCAACGATGCCTCCTAACTCATAATTAATTTATATACTTACTTCCAACATTCTTAACGAAAAAGCTTTAATTAAGTTCGAATGTAAATTTTTTAATATATAAAAAATGACATGGCAGTGGTTTAAGAATACAGGGGCAGAACATGGGTATCAAATATGTATTATGTGATTGTAACATGAATTTACTTTAACAAAATTCTATCTTGTCTTAAAGAATAGAGTCATTTATTAAATTTCTATTATAAGATAAAAAGTTGGTACTTGAAGACCGTTGGACATGTCTTAATATCACCCTCTCCCTTTTAATGACAATTCACAATCACGCACTCGGAACGCAACCAGGCAGTATTGCCACTTATCACACATGACGTATCGCCAGGCCAAAAAGCGTGCCGAGTTCGCCGATGGTGAAGCGAGCGTTCTCCCGCCTGGGCACCATTACCGCCGGCTGGGGGCGTTCCATCCGCAAACAGCACTCTCAGCTCAACGCCGACGACAAAAAGAAGTGGGCCAGCTCACAAGATTGCTCCAGTGAGTAGTTAAAAGCGAAGGCCCATTATATCCCTTGTCTTGTGCTATATTATTTCACACGGGAAAAGCATTTGTGTAACCCACATCTGTGGGTCACACAAATGCTTTTCAACTCATCAAATATTCAAAAATCAACTTTTTAGTTTATCTGGGGGCTTAATCACAAGGATAATCGTAAAAAACCTATCAAGTGCCATAACAACATGATTCATATGTCGTGTCTACCTCATCAATGTTGAATAAAGGAAGGAGGAAAGGAATTTTTGATATGCTATATATATGCGTTTCTGTGTAAGTCTACCAATGACTTTGAAGTGAAAATGATAGTTTCCCCTAATTGAATAGACACTTGTGTCTGATCTATGTCCGAACTATGTGAATTATATACGTTTGTGGTCTTTGTGGATTTGTCCAACTTACTTAATTTTTGGACCAATCCTAATCTTTTTAAACTTAAAGATATTTAAAAAAGTTGAATTAAACAAATTGTTTATTATGAGCTGTAAAATAAAATAGAAAAGATGTTGATTGTTACTTGTTCACAAAGTTTAGAAACCACTTGTTTACGTAATAATAGCCCGTCAGTTCTTTTATCTAGGCCGTTTTAAATTTGACTCGGTGTTTCTTACCCTATTTCCGAACCATGTCACATTGACTAATGATCTATATTTAGTTTGGTTTGTTTACATTTTCATGATCATTATCACTTGGAGGTTATATAATTGCACACGAACTTATACTACGTTAAAAGATTTTCTGTGCGTATACAATAACATTAACAAACGCTCTAAATTAAGTAATTTTATATTCTTACCAACTTAGTTATTCATCGGTTTGAATATCATCTGGAGCAATAATTCCAACTCATATCAGATTAAACGAAAGATTCTCATTTAAACCTTAGAACGGCCGATCTTCGAGGTCGCATAAAGCAAATATGTTTGTGTCGTGATAAGGTCACTTATCTATAGAAGTGGTGTTTAACGGCGTTTAAAAAAACAAGTCATACACTTGGCACATTTCCATTGCAGCAAACGAGGGATACGCGAAAAGTCGCCAGTAATTCGTCGAAAACAAGCGCTATTATTTTGCAATGATCGTTCATTACAAGAATTACAATGAATGCACTTTAGTTTACCAGTGGGATTACAGTTAAAAATAGCGTCAGTAACCAGGCCTAATATATTTATATTCAATATAAATTATTTATGTCACGGGACAGATGTTGAAAAGGAAAACTGTCGCGAAATAAAATTAAAAATAAACGCGTTAAATCAGTAAAATTAGTTTCATTTAGTAATGTCTAATCGCGTAAACATAAAAAATTATATGGCACAGTTAAACCCCACGGTTTAACTGGAAGAGGATGCCCAATGTCATAAAGTCCGCCATTACTTATATACATTTAAGTTTTTTATCCAAAATTATAAAAAAGAAAGAAGTAATTTAACAAATAAATATTAATAAACCATGTTGACAATTATTACAGATAAAGAAAGTAAGGATAAAGAAAAAGAAAAGAATGCAGCGCTAGCGGTGCCAAGACTCTCGGTATGCGCTGACGCGCAAAAAGTCGATCGAGCCAAGCTTGCGCAGACTGAGGTAACATCTTCCCTACATATGGTATAATTACTAATGCTTGCGTGTTTATGCAATCAACATTTCTACATTTTTGGACGATAGAAAAATTTACTTGTTAATCTCATACCAGCTTTTGCTTTGAAATATTTCTGTTAAAATGAAAGCATATATAAGTCATGGCACTAATAGTCATACGAAGAAGACATTTTTGTAATAGTAGTTGCTCAATGTCATCTACGTTGGTTATAATTAATTTTATTGTTTGTTTGTTTTTAAAAAAAACATTGCAATTTAGGATTCTGGGTTGTAAGGAAATTTCATAAACATAAATTTCACGTGGAACAACACCCAGATTCGAAACAACCGTTTCCACATGGGAGTCCCATGTGGAATCGAACCCACGACCCCCGACGCCAAAGACTTGGTAACTACGTCATGGACTCATCAAAATGATCTAGTGTATTGCAATTTTTAATATCCTTTGGTTGGCTTAAAATGTCTACGTATTCCTGTTAACATCGGTTGACAGTCTATTATTATGCTATTCCTCTCTTTGCATACAAGCCATAGGCTGCTGTAGGTATTGTACTAAAAATTACATAATATAAGTTTACAAGCAAACACCTTTTAACGCCAGTTCTAATATGAATTCTACCCTATCAATAACACAATGATTTTCATTTCATTTCAGTTTTCAATAATTGAATTCGATCCGGAAACTTTCCGTATACTGTTGGACTATCTGCATACTGGCAGTTGTCCCCTTACTTGCGCATCTATACCAGGACTTATCTGCGCAGCGGAACATTATGACTTGCCGGAACTTCTGCAAGCTTGCTTCCACCATGCGAAACAATTTCTTAGGATAGAAGTGGTAAGTATAACGATGGGCGCTAATAGGTGATAATAATGATGTCAGAAATAACTATCATAGTAAAAATTATACTTTTATAAAGTATGTTCAAGTTTCACAATTTGACTCGTTCAAAACTCACATGTGACTGGAAGATATTCTGACGTTTTACATTAATTTTCTGTCAAAAATATGAAACCTACATCTTTGAGGCCTCATGAGCATTATGACAAGTAATGCTCTTTCAAAATGAGAAAGTTTTGGATAGTATTTTAATAATTTTTGTAACATTTATTTTAGGTGTGCACGATGTTGATATCTTTGGAGAACTATTACTGGCGTTATACATCAGCCTCGGAGTTGGTCAATATGATTCTGGCTTTCATTGAACAGAGAGCTTACGCTTTGTTCCAAACAGCCGAATTCCTCAATCTATCCGAGTCAATGGTGCAAATGATCATGTGCCGAAACCTAGAGGTGCCAGAGGTCAGGAAATTCGAAGCGATGCTGAGTTGGGCGCGCAACAAAATCAAATCGAAATCTGCTAATAAGACTGACGCCAAAAATGAATTTAAAACCATTATGGAGAGATTAGCTAGAGATCTTAAGCTATATAGGATTTCGCCGCAGGAACTTATAAAGGTGGTACTCCCTTCGAAGGCCATCAAGAACGAACGCATCCTGGAGACGTTGATGTACCAAGCGAATTCGGGGATGTACAGGATCCAGGACAGCTATATTGAGGCTTGCCAACAGCGACTTCAAAAGCAGGACTCTAGATTCTCCGAATTTGAGAGTTTTGACTACGGCATTTAAACTAGGAGCTGTGAGTTAACCAGAGTATTAGCTAGATTATGAAGGGTGATCGGTTTGGATTCTCCTTGTATTGTGGTATGTTGAAGCCTTCTAAAAGTATTATTGTTATATATGTAGTAGAGGTGCGAGAAATATTTGTACACTTCTCGGATACCTAATCCTTGTTGTTGTTCATTGATACCTATATTTTTTACATCTAGCTAAAAGTGTTCAGTATAATCATCTCTATTTTTGGTACCAAAAGTTTGACATAATATTATGTACCCTTTTCCGGCGATATGTCTATACATGTATGACAGTTTTTACCTTACTATAATATAGAGATACAAAAGTAA